CAGCTACGCGCCGGCCGAGGCCTCAGGTGGGTGGCTGAGGGGACTGAGACTGAGGGGAACAGCCAGCGTGCAAAGCTGCAAGTCCGTCGGATGAGCCATACGTCGGAAAGTCAAGGCTGGTGGGGATACTTTTTTTCGCGGGCGCAAGCGGAAGCGCAGGCGCCGAGTTGAAAAGTCCGGGCTGGTGGGGATATGTTTTCGGTCGCAAGCGAAGACGCAGGCGAAGTCAGAAACTGTCCGGGGCGCGGAAACGGGCTTAATTAGCTACTGGGCGCGCAGCAGGCTGGCCAGGCCAGCTCACAAAACCGCAGTTGTGCCTCGCGGTGGGGCAGACAGGCTGATGGCACCCAGGGAAGTTCGGACAACGTGCCGTCTGACAAAATTCCAGAAAATTCTATGTACGCCCTGCGGCGTGAACCACTCAGAGAGCGAGAGGACGTACGCGTAATGCCCACACGCCTCACACGCCTGGAAGTCGCACAGGCGAGGTGAACGATGAACGAATCGCCAGCGGGGCGCCAAGTCCAGATCCGTACCAACGGTGTATGCAAGCTAGGTGGGCTATGCTGCCGAAGTGACGTCGACGACCTGCCTGAATGGCTGGGACGGATCCAGGGGAAGCGCAGCGTCTGACGGAAGGCTGAACCACTCCGAAGCGACCACGGGGCTCCCAAGGCCCACCATCCCGAGCACGTGGGGCGCCGGCCCGCTGGTGGGGATTTTTTTTTGGTCGGCGGCCGCGCGACAACCGTCTGGCGGCGAGAGGCAATGTCCGGGGCGGGCGGCACAAAGCTAATTGCACAACAAGCGTGCAGATGCACACGCACTGAACAAAATGCTCAGCATTCACCAGCAGACGCACCTAGGCGCCGCCCAGTAAACCAAAGTGTGCAAGCGGCCACGAATCTGGTGGGGATACGCGAAGCGTCAAGAATTATTCTTCAAGGGTGAGAATTCAAACATTTTGGAACTGTTCGTTCATTTCCGCTCGCGTGCCACTCAACACGTATTATAGCCCCAACCCTCGATACCCGCCCTCTTCGTCTTCGATCGTACCTCCTTGGGGGCATACCTTCCTTACCTGCCACGTGCATGGGGCGCAGGCCCTAAAACAGGGGGGACGGATGGAAGGAAGGGGCAAGAGGGAGGGAGAAGGATGGTGAGCGAGAGAGATTAGCAGGAGAAGGGCTAGGAGCAGAAAACACACGGCATAACCAGACGTGATGATCGGGCACGGAGACCCTAACGGGTGGGTCGGGAAGGCGGGCCCAGGCGGCCGGGTCGAGCAGGCGGGTTGCTGAAGCGTGAATCCTGCATGAATCGCAAGGGAATCTCGAACGACAGCCCGAATCCCAAGTTAATCGTGAGAAAGACCAGAACGAGAGCGTGATTCCTCAGTGTCGAGAGCGCGGCGTCTGAACAAATTGCGAGGAGTTCCCACACGATCGCGCGATTCTCGGATACATTCTGGGGAAATCCGACGTGGGAGCATGAATGATGCTCAAATTCTCAGGAAATATCACACGGGAGCCGTTGTTATTGTTGTTGTAAACCGGGGGCCGACAAGCCAATCTGAGGCGCAAGATTTTCCCGTGTGCAAAACCCAAGGTGCTAGCCCCAGGAGGAGCACTTCAATTGAAAGAAATTGGCACCGGAGGGATCAACATGAATCAAAATCGGATCCCAGCACCTTGAACCTGCCCGCTCTTCTTTCAGGCCAGGACCCAGTGCTGGGCCACCTCGGACCCCCAGACGGCTCCAAGACCTCCCCCTCCGTGGTCTTCCCCACTCACTGGCGAGCGGAACGCGCGCGCCAGGGAGGGGGCCCAATTCCGATCCAACAGATCCGCGCGAAGCGCCCAAAGTGAATGTTTGTGGAGATTGATATCTCTGAGACACACCTCCCTCCGAGGTCCTCCCTGCTGTACATCGGGGGGACTGGCCTTGGGTGGAAACCATCGACCTCGGGGTAGGATACACCAACACCGATCCTGGCCAGGATCGGTGTTGGTGTATAGTTGGTGCCCTCCGACGGGGTAGCACGGGGAGGGGACATGAACCCCCTATCAGCGATCCATGCGCGAGGGGGGTCGATGCGTTCCCCCTGTGCCTTCGCCCCCTGTCGTCGCCCCTCCTCCGAGGTCCTCCCCGCTATACTCTGGGGCGGTGTACTCCGGGAAGTCGTCGACGAAGCCAGCTGGGCCCGCCGGCGTGGCCATTGGCCGCGGGCGCGGGCGGTGCGCCCGCGCCGCGGGGGCGCGAGGCCGAGGTGCCCTAAGGGAGGGGAGGAGGAGGGGACGGTGGGGCGGGGTGGGGGGGAGGAGAGGAGGGCCAGGGGGGGGGGAAGGAGGAGAGAGGGGAGGAGGAGAGGAGGGGAGGAGGGGAGGAGGGGAGGAAGGGAGGGGCGGCGGGGAGGAGGGAGCGGAGGAGAGGATCGCGGGGATCGCGGGTGCCCCCAAAGGGCCGGCGCGGCCAGCAGGCCCGGGCGACGGGTGGCGACGGGCGGCGACGAGGCGGCAACGGCGGCTCCATGCAGCCAGAGCGGCCCGCAGGCCCAGCTCCTCAGATGACAAATAAGAACCCCTAAAGTGCAAATTCTGTTTGGGGAATACGTGTGTACGTATTCCTCTTTCTGTATTCTTAAAAGCCAGGAGGGTGGGAAAACACCCCCACCCCACACAAAAAACCAGACCCCCAGGATCGGGGGTTTCCGGGCCCCGCGGACACCGTCGCCCGGGCTCGTCCCGGACCTCCAGGGCGCGCAGCCAGGTCTTGCAGCAGACCCCGAGCGATCAGAGCAGTGATCAGAGAGGCCGGAGAAAGCCCAAGACAGCACAAGAGCGCTCCAGAAAGGACCCAGATGGCCTTCTGAGGCCCCCGAAACGGCCCAGGAGGCCCTCAACAGGACTCCCAGAACGCAGAAATCGCTTCATTCCCTTAGGGAAACGTGCATTTTCAGCACAATCGCCGCTCGGGTCTTAGCAGCGCCCAAAAAAGCCAGAAAGGCCTCTGGCATCGCCCCAAGACGGCCCAAGAGACCTCCAAGAGAGCCTTTAGACGGCCTGGGCCCAAGATTTCGCAAAGAAGCCCCCAATTTGCAAAAAAATAACCCAACAGGCCCTCACAAGGCCCCCAAGAGAAGCCCAAGAAGGCCATGGGAGGCCCCCGAAAAGGCGACGGGGGCCGCTAGGAGGGCCCACGTAGCCCCCGCAAGGTCCCTAGAGGGACCAAGCTCCCCCAAACGCACCAATATGGCCCTGGTGCGGGACGGCTCGGGAGGGCCCCGAGCCGGCCCACCAGGGTTCCAACAGTGCCCACAGGGTAGGCTCGACCGAACTGACCCAAATCAGGGGTTCGCCACCACATTTCCCGGAAATCTGTTGCGAACCCGGGATCCAGCGCATTCACCAATAACTATTCATTTTCGCGTACCCCGTTGCGACCTGCTGCAACATGACATCGTCGGCTTCGAATGTCTTTATGCTGTGCGACATTGCTTGGCATTGCATTGGTTTGCTTGGCATTCATTCGCATGGCTTGCCCTTCCTTCGCGTTGCGCACCAGGGCACCTGAGCCACGAGCCGGCCAGTGTGCGGGCCTACGAAGGCCTTTTGTCGTCATTCACTGCCGGACAGTTCTGCAAGCGTGTTCGTACACATGAACGCCCCCGACAGCGCCATCTCTTTCCCTCCTCCTGCTCCTCCTCTGGGTTCTCCTCCTCCTCCTCCTCCTCCTCCTCCTCCTCCTCCTCCTCCTCTTTCTGCCGCTCCACCACTCATCCTCCCCCACATCCGCTTCCTTTTCCTCGTTTTCCGAGATTCCCTCCCTCCTATCCTTCGCCCTCCACCCGGCACCTTTCGGGATTCCCCAGAGGTTCGGGACAGGCCAGGAACCTCCCGAACGTTCGAAGACTTCCGAAAACCACCGCAGGGAAGGGGCCAAATTTCCAAAACTACGGAGGATGGCGCGAACGACCAATCGATGCAAAGCTTCAAGGACCAAGGTGCATGGCGCGAAGCGCCAATGCAGTCTTGTATCTATTCATATGTGTATATATATGTGTGTGTATGTATGTGTATATATATATATACTTGTTGGCGTCGCGGCCACAAGCGCCGCGGCCGCGGCGGCGCTGTGTAGAACAAGTCAAGCGCGCACACGTACTGGCCCGGCTAACTCAACGAAGAGAAACTGGATCCACCCATGGGGGAACGACAGCGACACCCCCGGGGGTGCAGCCGTGAGTGCACACACGCGCACGCGCACAAACACGTACATACACACAAACACACACACACATGTTCACAGTTGAACACTTGCAAACGCATCCCACGTCCACGAATCACTGACGCATTCAACTGGCTAGCCGCGTAGTACTGACCACTGCAACACACAAACACACAGGAAGACTGCTGCTGAGGTAAATTATGGTTCACAGTATGCGGGCGCCTGGGAAAAACTGCCCAAACAACCCACGAACAAAAATTGAAACCGAGCCGAGAGGGGGACATGGGAAAATCCACTTGTTTCGAAATGCAGATGTTCTTACTGAACCAAACAAGTAAAATGGGGAGGGTATGTGCAGGAGGGAAAAGAAGGGGCGACAGGATGGAAGGGGGCGGCGCGCCCAAGAACGGCGCCTCTGCCAAAACGACTGCACGATAGTCGGCTCCCACTGCGGCATGGCAGTGCGCCCATTCGCGCGCGCGATCGCCTACCCATCGCCCCCTTCGCTCCTCCTGCCTTCGTCGATGCCCCCCCCCCGCCTCTTCCCCCAGTCACTTCTTTCCCCTCCCATACCCTCCCCCGTTCCCCCCATCGCTCCACCTCCTGCGTTCCCCCTCCCCTCCCGAAGGCGTCTGGGGACCAAGCGGGGGGGGGAGAGAGAACGAGGACGACGAGGATGACGACAACGACAACGACGACGAGGAGGACGACAACGACGACGACGACGACGACGACGACGCCGCGGCGCGGGCACGCGCGGGCACTCGCGGGGCCTGGCGCCAGGGACAGGGTCTGCGACGCACCCCTGGCAGACACCGGCACGTGCATCGGCCACTGGGCCTGCGCGTCCACGGCCCGGCGGGCGAGGTGGAGGGGAGGAGGAGAAGTGGGAGCGGGGAGGACGGGGGAGCGGGGGGGATGGGAGGTGGTAGAAGGTCGGAGGCAGGGTCTTCGGGCTTCGGCCGCCACCGAAACTCAGTCGACTCTCGGGTGGCGGCCTCTGAGAATGAGAAACCAGCCGTGTTTGCTGTTTTTTCTCGTGGCCTTTCTGCTGCCCAGACACTCGTCGCCGAGAAGCCCCAGGGGCCCTAGCGTGGTGCAGTCTGCGCACGAAACACAAACGAGCAGGGGACTCTCATCGAAGCTATCGAGCGCACGGAGCTTATGGCCACGCCCTTTCACTCCAAAAATCGTCAAGAGCACCTCCCCAGACAAAAAAAACATGCAGGGGTGCGGTTATCCTGCCGCTTGAAGCGCAAACCTGTGCCACACTTCCAAAACGACTTCGAAAGGGTGAGAGGAAAGAGGAGGGTAGAGGAGGGTAGAGGAACGGGGGGGGAAGATGCACGCGAACTGGCAGACTGACGTACTGACTGACTGAGTCACAGACTCAATAACTGGCTAGACACACTGGTCGAGACCGTTGGCGACGAATTAATATCGGCGGGCGAAGGCGCAACCAATGGCGTAACCAATGCCACACCCTCATAGAATGCGGCGGCCAGGGAAGCCACTTATTGCGCAACCTTGGACGCAACCGCGTTATGGGGCGCACGCACGCAGTTGCGCGCAATCCATGACGGCTTCCATGGCGCGACCTGTGTCGCAATCTGAGGTGCAGATATGGCGCGACTGTAGCACTCGCGGATCCCCAGGCTGGAAGCCGAGAGGCACGCGGACGAGACGCCCAAGTAGGTGGCCATCACTGTGTCTACGGGGCTACGCCAGATCTACGTTGGCCGTTCGGGTTCGCCTTGGGACCTCAAAAACGAACTGTCTTGACGAGCGATGTCGGCGTTTTCTGGACGATGCTGACGCCCGCTCCAGCAACTGCATGTCCACGTTGCGCCACCTGCGTCAAAAGACCTCGATTATGGCACGCTCATACATCACCCTCTCCACCTCAGTATCCCACCTTGTCTCCTTATTGTTTCCTCTTTATATCATTGAAAACATACACACACACTGGTTCTGGAAACGAGCGCATCTATGTATATATATATATACATATATATGTACACACGCATATGTGTACATGTGTCCCTCGTCGTCTATCCATGTCTCTCTCTCTCTCTCACACTCTCTCGCCTTCTCTCTATGGCGGTACCCTCTTCCCTATCACTCTTTGTAAATGTTGCTTTTCTTTCCTTCTCACTCTCACATTCTTTCCACACATATACACATATATCTATATGTATGGCGGAGGCGATTGATAAAGTTGTTTAATTTTCAGGCGGGACCTTCGGCCACTCCTTAGATTTGAAAGATTGGAAGACGCATCTCAGGGTCCGGGAAAATTCATTGAGCCGCACACAAGCCCTGTGGTGCACACAACCCTGCGCGTAAACGTGCACACTGTTGCCTCGTCCTCCAACACGACCACGACGACGACGAAGACGACGTCGATGGGCTAGGCCCGCGCACCTGCGTCAGCAACTGACACTGACACTGAAATGGACATTGCGCCCCCGCGTCACAATCTACGGCCCTACGAGGGGCGGGGCGGCGGCGCCTCGGCGCCAGCAAATATGCAACAAAGTCTCACGCGGGGGAAATGAAGAAAAAAAAGGAGGAGTTGGCCGGCAGGTCCACTCGCCTTGTACTTGCCATTGTCCTCCAATTGCGACCGTAGCACACTATCCGGCGCAATGTTTCGCCAATCCTCTCCAGAAGCTGCGTGGGTCGTTTTTGCCACGTCGTCGAACCACCCTTTGTTGGGTCGGCGCGGTAATCTTTTTGCACGCGTACTGGATGTGGTTGGATCCCACGATGTGGCCTCGCGGTTCCATTTGCCCACCCCGTCGTTGATTGTCGCCACAAACAACCTCCACTGTAGTCGCCGTTGCCGCGTGCACCAATCTTCATACCCCGCGTCGTGGCAACATCCTTCAATTTGCCTTGTCGCACGCTTAATCCAATCGACCCATGGTTCGAGAGGGTCCGCGGGGGCACACGAGCTCGATGTTGCGGTTGCGCTGCCAATGCTGGTGCACGTGTCGCTGCTGTCGGAGTCGTTGTCTGCAGTGGTGTTGGCTCCGTCGCAAGGTTGTTCCTCTTCTGCTGCTTCTGGCTCACGGCGTCGCAGTGACCCCAGAACCATTATGACCATGTGTCGTTGCGTGGATCGTACTCGCGACTCCAACGGGATTGTCATCGCCCATGACCTGGAGCCATAAAGTAGCGTCGGAACAACAATGCCGCTGAACAACCCGAGCCGGACTTTCAGAGAGTACAATCGCGTAGTAGCCTCTTGCTTGAAAACGCCGAACTTATTCCATGCCGCTCGGATCCCGGCTTCAATTTCGGTCGCAGTCGGTCCAGAGAAGCTAAGTTGACGTCCCAAATACTTCTGCGTCGCGGTGAAAGGCAATACTTCGATGCCGCTTCCGTTGGTAACCACATACTCGGGGCTGTCTCGCGGTCTCCCGGCTCGCACATTATGCAGTATCTTCGTTTTCCCAGGGTGCATATCCACACCAGTGGGCTGTGCAGCACTCGTTACGTCAGATATGATATCGCATAGCTGCCTTAACCCCTTGTTGCGGATAATAAACCCTAAGGGATAATAAAGTTCGGGGCTTTCGGGGGGGATAATAAAAGCTGCCCGCCAGAGCCAACATAAAACGATATCAAGAGGAAAAAGCCAAAGATATGTTGAGAATCCTTGGTCTTTGGTCCTCTATGAGACATCCTCAACAATGATTTGTCTCGGTTGAGACATCCTCAACGAATTGCTTGTTTCGCTTGAGACATCCTCGAAATATTTGTCAAATTCAGGGGGGGCAGGGAGACAATAAGAAAAAGAAATATAAAGAGAAATATAAATAAAGACGGAAAGGAAGAGAATAATGATGAGAAGGAGGAAGAGCAGGAGAAGCAGAGAAGGAGGTAGAAGCAAGAATCCAAAGTTGAAACTTATTAGGTTTAACTTGTAAGCGCTTAGTGAAAATTAAAATGTTCATCTGCTCGTGTAGGGTAGCTCATGTGCTTAATTTTCCCCGGATAATCAACCCCAGCGATAAACAAGTTCAGGGCGCCAGAGGGAGGAGGAGAAAGAAAGACAGAGAGAGAGACAGAGAGAGATAGAGAAACCAGAAAGCAACACAAAGAAAAAGAGAGAAAGAGAGAAACAGAAAACAACAAAAAGAAAAAACGTGTTCGTTTCGCTTGATGTTGTTATCTCAACATGAGAAGGAAGTAACCTCGATGGCGAACATTCCCAGTGATAATGAAGTTCGGCCTCCGCGCCCCCGCGCCCCCGACCAAACTCTTATTGGTCGACGGCAAAAAACTCTAACGACTTAAGGGGGGGTACTTTATTATCCTGGGCACGCGGTTAACGACGTTGCGAGCAAGAGAACGTCGTCTGCGAATCGAAAATTGATGAGACCACCGTGCTCGTAAACCGCCATGTGTACGCCGTAGCGCCGGTTGGCCCACTTTCTCTGAAATTGATAGAGCACGAACTCTGACGAGCAGTTGAACAACAATGAGCTCAGAGGGTCGCCTTGTTTTGTTCCCCTGCTGATCGCGAAAGTATTGCTGCGCACGTCTGTCTTGACACAAGCTGTTTGGTCGGCATACACGTGTGGTATCATATTGATGTACGCATCAAGTACTCCGTGTGCTCGCAGTGCTTTCTACAGCGACTCGTGTGATACAGTGTCGAACGCATTTTGAAATCTGGAGTCGCAGCAGCCCAAAGTGGTCATTCTTGTGACTTCTCCTGGACAATGGCGAACGTCAACATATGATCGTCTATACTGAAATGCCGCCAGAAACCCGCCTGAGAAAGGGGTTGTTTTGCATCTAGTATGGGCTCCAATCGATTGTACAATACTCGAAAAATAATTTGCACATGAGTGGAATGATTGAGATAGAATGGTAGTTCTGCGGCAGCGTGGGCTCGCCGCATTTGGAAATCACGCTGATCAGAATGCGTTTCAATTGCTGCGGCGTGGTGGCACCATCGGCAACGATGTCGTTGAACAGCTTCCGTAAAGCCTGTCTGAGGGATTCGCCTGCGTACTTCAACATCCCCGCTGCAATGCCACAGGTGTCTGGAACCTTCCCGCTCTTAAACTGTCGTAAAGCATCGACCAACTCCTCGTCCGTAAAAGCGGGGACTCTACGATCGTCAATTGCTCCACTGTTCTTGAAGGCGGAAATTATCCCGTCAAGTTGGGAATACAAGGACGCATAGAAACTGGCAAAAACATCAGCTACGCTTTTCTGTCGTGAACCGATTCGCCAAATGTTGGTTGCATAGAAATAATGTCCTTCTTCTTCACGCTGTTGATCCGAGCTATGCGAATCAACCCTCGAAACTCGCTAAGAATTTGTATGATCTTACTGCGTCTGGCGACTCTGCATTGCTTGCGTATCTCTCTCCGGATCTTTAGACTGAGATTGCGTCGCAACGATGTGTCCGTGCTGTGCAGCTGTTTGCGCTGGCGGAGTAAGTCGTCCAATGTGTTGCGGGGGCGTGGTTGTATGGTGGGCGCCTCTTTTCCTGCATCTGCTTTTGGATCCTCCATGCACCGTTGAATTGTTCCCTACCTAGGCTCTGCCTAGAAGGGTTCTTACTCGGTATGCTTAAAGGGCCGGGCAGTGCAATTCGCCCCGGGCGGTTTTTCCAGTATCCGCCCCACGGTTCCCCTAGTTACGCCCCCTTAGCTTAGCGTTGTTTATCTCATACTAGCTTAGCTTATTTCATCTTAGCTTAGCTTAGATTCACCTTAGCTCAGATTTGTCTTAGCTTAGCTTACCTTCAGCTTCGCTGAGCTTTAGCATAGCAGAGCACAGCATAGCATAGCATAGCATGGCGCAGCACAGCATAT